CCCCCCCAGTGTCCGCCATCCTTGCCTCCTGCTTGCGGGTTCCTCTGCACCTCCTCCCCGGCTGCACGCTGCCTGCACCCGTGTGTCGCCTGGCCTGAGCCGGGAGTCCAAGCAGCAGCTTCCCTCTTACTCGACCCTTGCATGGCCGGCCGGAGGCTTTGGGGAGGGAGCTGGGTCCCCGGGGGCTGGAGGACATCTAGGGCCAACACCATGAGAGCCCACCGCAGCCCCGGCTGTGCCATGGCCAAAGAAGCAGCTGGAGGGGGACGTCTCCTCTACCGCCTCCATGTCAGCCGCCTGCACCGATACAGACACGGGCAGTCCTCCCGCTGGTACTGTTCAGGAAGAGGAATGGCAGCCGGCCTTCGGGACACGGAAAGGAGATCTGTGGAGGTCGAGGGCCCTCGGTGGCCTCCTGAGTTAAGAGGGAGGCTTTTCGGAAGGAGGACGATGGCGTGAGGTGCACGGACGCCAAGGGTGGTGCTTAGAGCGACAGCTGGGATGCTGCCACCCCCCTGCTGCCACCTCCTCCTCCTCCTCCTCCTCCCCCCCTGCGGCAGGCTGAGCCTGCCCGCTCCCTCTGACGCAAGAGCTACTACTCCGGACTCTGTTTCTCTCTCACTTCCTCTGGGTTGTCTGTCTGCCGCTCCCTGTGCTGTTTGTCTGTCTCTTCTCTTTGCTGGATTCTGACCTCTGCTTCCCTCTCGCTCGGCTGTCACCTGCTGCTCAGCCCAGAGAGCGCGACGTGATCCGGAATTTGCGCCTGGTGAGTGGTCCCGGCCGGTTCTGCATGCCCTGTTGCTGCTCTTGGCGCCTGCTGGAGAGGAGGCCGGCTGATGAGCACCGCCTCCCCGCTTGCGCAGAAGCCGCGTCCCGTCCAGTCCCTCTGAAAGCTTTGCTTGACCCGTAACTGCTGACGGGAGGCTGGTGCATCGCACGACGGGCTCCCACGCAGCGGGCCCTTTGGCAGTGTGGCTGTCCCCCTGCCCCTGAGCCTCGGGCACTGCGTAGGGGATCCAGGATGGCGGGCAGGTGGGAGGGGGTTTCAGTCTTTCCTCCCCTGCATCGTTTCCTGGCTCCAAGGGTGGGAGGGAAGGGACCCCAGCCCCACCCCGGCTTCTCCAGGGCCCCGACCTGAGCCTCCTTTGTCCACAGCCCCGGGAGAAGGGACGCATGCGCTTCCACAAGCTGCAGAACGTGCAGATCGCCTTGGAGTACCTGAAGCACCGGCAGGTGAGCATCCGGGGCAAGGAGCCTGGAGGGGAAGGTGGAAAAAGGCGGCTGGGGGCGGGGGGGAGGGTGCCTGTGTGCATCTGCCTGTCTGCTTCCACAGGTGAAACTGGTCAACATCCGGAATGATGATATCGCCGATGGGAACCCCAAGCTGACACTAGGCCTCATCTGGACCATCATCCTCCACTTCCAGGTGTGGCCAGCTCTCCCCCCCTTCTTCCCTGTTCTGCTCTGGGGCCAAGGACTCTCTTCGGCCCCTCCCTGCCTCCCCCTCCCCCGCCTGTGGGCCAGATTCTTGTAAGGGCCTCCTCCCCCTCCCCCTCCGCTGCCTCTCCACAAGTGCCATGTGATCAGATGGGCAAAGGGCTGCCCTTCCCTTCAGAGGCTGGCAGGGATGCCGCTCAGAAGCAGGCGGGGGAGGTTGGAGTTGGCGGGGTGAGTAAGGGAGGAGGAGGAGGAACCCAGGAGGGGAGGAATGTGGGCTGTGGCTGGGAGAGAACAGGATGCTGCGGCTTGTGGGGCTGACTCACCCATCAGTCGCTTCAGGACACAAGATTTTCCGCTGAGTGCTGGGCCTGGGGGGGGGGCGACCCACAGGCCTTGGCACGCCCCAGATGCAGGGATGGGAGAGCTGCAGCTGCGCCTTGTGCGCTGGGTAGAGGCAACTACTGAAGGCAGGCTCCCAAGGGGCCCCCCAAGGCTCCCAGTGGAGGGCCAGTGCCTGGCCTGGGGCATCGCAGCCACCAGGGCAGCAGAAAGAATCGGCCCTCCTCCTCTTGAGGGGCGCAGGGCAGCCCTGAGGGGGCTGCTGGGAGCTCCAGNCCCCCCCGAAGAGAATGAATGAAAAGTTGATAGGAGAAAAGAAGGAATCTGCTTTGGAAATGCCGAGCGGGATTCTCAGCCCCACAGAAGTTACAGTAACAGGAAATATAAGAAGGACAAATGATGAAACCAGAGGCCTCGTGAGTGAGGTGCAAGAGAAGGATTAAAAGAGGCAGAGAAAATGCAAAACAGTTCTA